TGAGTGAGTGTGTGAGTGTGTGAGTGTGTGAGTGTGTGAGTGAGTGAGTGTGTGAGTGAGTGAGTGAGTGAGTGAGTGAGAGTGAGTGAGTGAGTGAGTGAGTGAGTGAGTGTGTGAGTGAGTGAGTGAGTGTGTGAGTGAGTGAGTGAGTGAGTGTGTGTGTGTGAGTGAGTGTGTGAGTGAGTGAGTGAGTGAGTGAGTGAGTGAGTGAGTGTGTGAGTGAGTGAGTGAGTGTGTGTGTGAGTGAGTGTGTGTGTGAGTGAGTGAGTGTGTGAGTGTGTGAGTGAGTGAGCGTGTGAGTGAGTGTGTGTGTGAGTGAGTGAGTGTGTGAGTGTGTGAGTGAGTGAGTGTGTGAGTGTGTGAGTGTGTGAGTGAGTGAGTGAGTGAGTGTGTGAGTGAGTGAGTGAGTGAGTGAGTGTGTGAGTGAGTGAGTGTGTGAGTGAGTGAGTGAGTGTGTGAGCGAGTGAGTGTGTGAGTGAGTGAGTGAGTGAGTGTGTGTGTGAGTGTGTGAGTGAGTGAGTGAGTGAGTGTGTGTGTGAGTGAGTGAGTGTGTGAGTGTGTGTGTGAGTGAGTGAGTGTGTGAGTGTGTGAGTGAGTGAGTGAGTGTGTGAGTGAGTGAGTGAGTGAGTGAGTGTGTGAGTAAGTGTGAGAGTGTGAGTGAGTGAGTGTGTGTGAGTGAGAGTGAGTGTGTGAGTGAGTGTGTGTGAGTGAGTGTGTGAGTGAGTGAGTGAGTGAGTGAGTGAGTGAGTGAGTGAGTGGGTGAGTGAGAGAGCGAGCGAGCGTGTGAGTGAGTGAGTGAGTGAGTGAGTGAGTGAGTGAGTGAGTGAGTGAGTGTGTGAGTGAGTGAGTGAGTGAGTGAGTGAGTGTGTGAGAGAGTGAGTGAGTGAGTGAGTGAGTGAGTGAGTGAGTGTGTGAGAGAGTGAGTGAGTGAGTGAGTGAGTGAGTGAGAGAGTGAGTGAGTGTGTGAGTGAGTGAGTGAGTGAGTGAGTGAGTGTGTGAGTGAGTGAGTGAGTGAGTGTGTGAGAGAGTGAGTGAGTGAGTGAGTGAGTGTGTGAGTGAGTGAGTGAGTGAGTGTGTGAGAGAGTGAGTGAGTGAGTGAGTGAGTGAGTGAGTGAGTGAGTGAGAGTGAGTGAGTGAGAGTGAGTGAGTGAGAGTGAGTGAGTGAGTGAGTGAGTGTGAGAGTGAGCGAGTGAGTGAGTGAGAGTGAGAGTGAGAGTGAGTGAGTGAGTGAGTGAGTGAGTGAGTGAGTGAGTGGGTGGGTGGGTGGGTGGGTGAGTGAGTGAGTGAGTGAGTGAGTGAGTGAGTGAGTGAGAGTGAGTGTGTGAGTGAGTGAGTGAGTGAGTGAGTGAGTGTGTGTGTGTGTGTGAGTGAGAGTGAGTGAGTGAGTGTGTGAGTGAGTGAGTGAGTGAGTGTGTGAGTGAGTGAGTGTGTGTGTGAGTGAGTGAGTGTGTGAGTGTGTGAGTGAGTGAGCGTGTGAGTGAGTGTGTGTGTGAGTGAGTGAGTGTGTGAGTGTGTGAGTGAGTGAGTGAGTGTGTGAGTGTGTGAGTGAGTGAGTGAGTGAGCGAGCGAGTGTGTGAGTGAGTGAGTGAGTGTGTGAGTGAGTGAGTGTGTGAGTGAGTGAGTGAGTGTGTGAGTGAGTGAGTGTGTGAGTGAGTGAGTGAGTGAGTGAGTGAGTGAGTGAGTGAGTGAGTGTGTGTGTGAGTGTGTGAGTGAGTGAGTGAGTGAGTGAGTGTGTGTGTGAGTGAGTGAGTGTGTGAGTGTGTGAGTGAGTGAGTGAGTGTGTGAGTGAGTGAGTGAGTGAGTGAGTGTGTGAGTAAGTGTGAGAGTGTGTGAGTGAGTGAGTGTGTGTGAGTGAGAGTGAGTGTGTGAGTGAGTGTGTGTGAGTGAGTGAGTGAGTGAGAGAGTGAGTGAGTGAGTGAGTGAGTGAGTGAGTGAGTGAGTGAGTGAGTGAGTGAGTGAGTGTGTGAGAGAGTGAGTGAGTGAGTGAGTGAGTGAGTGAGTGAGTGAGTGAGAGAGTGAGTGAGTGTGTGAGTGAGTGAGTGAGTGAGTGAGTGAGTGTGTGAGTAAGTGTGAGAGTGTGTGAGTGAGTGAGTGTGTGTGAGTGAGAGTGAGTGTGTGAGTGAGTGTGAGTGAGTGAGTGAGTGAGTGAGTGAGTGAGTGAGTGAGTGAGTGAGTGAGTGAGTGTGTGTGATTGACTATGTGAGTGAGTGTGTGTGTGTGTGTGTGATGTCACCTGTGTGAGAAGAAGATTCCTCTGCGCAGGAAGTGATGCGGTGTTTTCCCCGTGACTCTGGCGATTCTGTCCACCAGCTCCTGCTCGATCTTACAGCTGCCGAATCGCACTGATTATATATAACACACGGATTATTAACACGCTTCACACACACACACACACACACACACACACGCTCAGAGTCGCAGCAACCGACCGATGAGTTTGTCGTAGTCGACTCCTTTAGCGCTGCTGGTGCACACGTTCCAGGGGTCGACCTCGTCTTCCTCCTCCTCCTCATCCTCAGCCGGGTCGGCGTCAGCATCACGGCTCGTCGCGGTGTGTGTGTGTGTCGGCGGCCGGCCAGCCTCATAATCCTGACCCGTGACGTGCTTATAGTCCTGCTTCATCTTCAGCAGCAGCTGCACTGCACACTCCACCTCAGCCTGACACACACACACACACACACACTACTGTTAGACTCCACCTCAGCCTGACACACACACACACACACACTACTGTTAGACTCCACCTCAGCCTGACACACACACACACACACACACACTACCGTTAGACTCCACCTCAGCCTGACACACACACACACACACACTACTGTTAGACTCCACCTCAGCCTGACACACACACACTACCGTTAGACTCCACATTAGCCTGACACACACACACACTACTGTTAGACTCCACATCAGCCTGACACACACACACACTACTGTTAGACTCCACATCAGCCTGACACACACACACACTACTGTTAGACTCCACCTCAGCCTGACACACACACACACACACACACACACACACACTACCATTAGACTCCACATTAGCCTGACACACACACACACACACACACACACACTACTATTAGACTCCACGTCAGCCTGAGACACACACACAGTACAGTGCTGAGTATAAATAAACATTTGATTACAATACATTAAAAATTAAGATTAAAATAAATTACAAATAAATAGGTCAATAAAAATTAGATCACAATGAATAAAAAAATAGATATATAATAATAACAATTCTGTATTTTCCGATTAATATTTGGACATATTTATAATATTATAATCTGACAACATAAGTGACTGACTTTATTGGCCTTCTGAGCCTTGAGTTCCCTCACTGCGTGTCCCTGAGCGGTGAGCTGCTCGTACAGGTCCATCGCGCTCGGCATCTTTACCTGTAACACACTGACCAGACTCATACTGTAATAATAATAACTCCTATGACTCTTTATAACGAGACTGACATATGCTCGCTGCCGCAGGCCAGCCTTTAAACACAGATCTGAAATCAGTGTCATGACCAGCGCTCACACGAGCAATAATTACACGTTCATTTCAGTATTAAATAGTAATGAAGAATAAACAAACGCACCTTTTTGAGTTAGATGGTTTAATTCATTCCACTTGCATCAGACTCACTGTGCCAGTGTCACACCGATCTCTGCCCTACTGGAAACATCCGCTCCACGTAGTTCCGGTCGCATGTCTCACACGTCACTGTCAGCGAAAATATTTTTATTAAAAACGCTTTTAGTCATACTGTGTTTGACTTAGATAACCGCGATGCACACAACATGAAATATATAAGATAAGTATTTTATAAACAAGAATTATTGTTTTTTTTTAAAGACTCTTATTTTGTCGCAGAAACAAACCGCTTCCTCTACAAGTGCTTATCACTCAGAGAAATAAGTGAATCAATATCAAAATTTGGATTAAACATGTGTCGTGTAAACACACGATTTTCAACTCCACAAACCAATGTAACGGTTAATCCAAATAAGACAGCTGACACTTTTAGTCGTACTCTGTTTTACTCAGATGACGGTAATGCATAAAAGCTGTTCATTAAAACGAGACTCTTATTTTGCCTGTAAATTCCTCACTCGCTCTTCCGGAGTTTCGCTACCTGATATTTCAAATTAAAAACACCACACGACAGAAGGGAATATTAATCATATGAACAAGAATAACTGAATGTCTGTATTGTTATACCAACGATTTAAACTGATACACAGATGCATATATTATGAAAGGGATTTGACGGATCAATATTCGCTAACAGATGACTTCAGTTACTCGTCGTTTAATGTGAGTTTTTGGACAATTTAGTGTATTCTGCTGCTTTATTTTAATTATTAGAATAAATTCAAGATACATTTGTCGTTTTACTTACTGTAATTTAAAAAAATATACATATGTGTAATATTCATTCTGTTTACAATAGTTGAACTCTTGTTTGTCTCGTTTTATTAGTAAGATTTTAATTCTTTTTTTAATCTTTTTAAATCTATTTTTAGTTAATATATATATATATGTGTGTGTGTGTGTGTGTGTGTGTGTGTTATTATTGATATTGTTGTCCATGCAGACACATGCAGTGGTTTGTGAGTGATCATCATGGCTTCACTGGTGGATTATGAGGATTCTGACAGTGATTCGGATCAAGATCTTCAGTCTGCTGCTCCTCATCCTCACCTGGAGCTTTATAAAGATCAGTCCCTCATCATGAGCTCTTCGTTATCCTCATCATCATCATCAGTAGTAAGTGTGTCTGGCTGCAGGAAGAGAGCTCAGCCGCAGCCGGCCGGAGTCAGGCCGTATGTTCCTAAGAGGGAGCGAGTGTCCACCGCAGCGGCCCAGACCCCAGAGACACCTCACACACCTCACACACCTCCACCTGCCGGAGCTCGTCTGCTGTCCGAGGTCTCCGAGAGGGTCCGGCCGTTCCTGGCACTAAAGCCCGGTCGGGTCGAGCTGCCCAGACGAGTGCAGTGTCTCATTCAGGCCCACCAGGGTCCAGTGAACACACTGCAGTGGAGTCCAGTGGATCATCTCAGTCACCTGCTGCTCTCCGCCTCCATGGACAACACCTGCAAGGTATGAATAACACAACACAACCCAACCTATCACAACCCAACGTAACACAACCTAACCTATCTCAACCCAACCCAACCTAACCCAACAAAAAACATAACACTCACAGCTTAACCTTACCCAACCTAACACAACCCAACCTAAGCTAACTTTACCCAACAAAACCTAAAACTACCCAACCTAATACAACCCAACCTAACTCAACCCAATTTAACCTAACCTAACCTAACTCAACAAAAAACATAACACTCACAGCTTAACCTTACCCAACCTAACACAACCCAACCTAAGCTAACTTTACCCAACCTAACACAACCCAACCTAATCTAACTTAACCCAACAATACCTAACCCAACCTAATCTAACTTCATCCAAAAAAACCTAACCCAACCTAATCTAACCTAACCCAACCTAACCTAATGTAGCCTAACCTAAGCCGACAAAACATAACTCTACTCAACCTAACTCAACCCAACCAAACCCAGTCTGACCTAACCCAACCTAACCTAACTTAACCCAACAAAACCTAACCTAATGTAGCCTAACTTAACCCAACAAAAAACATAACACTCACAATCTAACCTAACTTAACCCAACCCAACCCAACCTAATCTAACCTAACCCAACCTAACCTAATGTAGCCTAACCTAAGCCGACAAAACATAACTCTACTCAACCTAACTCAACCCAACCAAACCCAGTCTGACCTAACCCAACCTAACCTAACTTAACCCAACAAAACCTAACCTAATGTAGCCTAACTTAACCCAACAAAAAACATAACACTCACAATCTAACCTAACTTAACCCAACCCAACCCAACCTAATCTAATTTAACCCAACAATACCTAACCCAACCTAATCTAACTTAACCCAACAATACCTAACTCAACCCAACCTAACTTAACCCAACAAAATCTTACCCAACCTAATCTAACTTAACCCAACAATACCTAACCCAACCTAATCTAACTTAATCTAAAAAAACTAACCCAACCTAATCTAACCTAACCCAACCTAGCCTAATGTAGCCTAACCTAAGCCAACAAAACATAACTCTACTCAACCTAACTCAACCCAACCAAACCCAGTCTGACCTAACCCAACCTAACCTAACTTAACCCAACAAAACCTAACCTAATGTAGCCTAACTTAACCCAACAAAAAACATAACACTCACAATCTAACCTAACTTAACCCAACCCAACCCAACCTAATCTAACCTAACCCAACCTAACCTAATGTAGCCTAACCTAAGCCGACAAAACATAACTCTACTCAACCTAACTCAACCCAACCAAACCCAGTCTGACCTAACCCAACCTAACCTAACTTAACCCAACAAAACCTAACCTAATGTAGCCTAACTTAACCCAACAAAAAACATAACACTCACAATCTAACTTAATCTAACAAAACCTAACCCAACCTAACCTAACCTAACCCAACAATACCTAACTCAACCCAACCTAACTTAACCCAACAAAACCTAACCCAACCTACCGTAATCTAATTTAACCCAACAATACCTAACCCAACCTAGCCTTACTTAACCCAACAAAACGTAACCCAACCTATCCTAACTTAACCCAACAAAACCTAACCCAACCTAACCTAACTTAACCCAACAAAACCTAACCCAACTTAACCTAACTTAACCCAACAAAACCTTACCCAAGGTTTCAGGGTTAGTCGCATATACTTATGCATAATTTACATGTAAAATATGTAACAAGGGAACTGTTTAATAAAGTGTCACTAAATCAGTGAAGCAATATCAGGATTTGGATCATATTTGTCACATAAACGCCTGATTGATCATTTAACCCCAGACGGCCAATACCAGGGGAATCCAGTTTCTTCATTAAAAAGAAATCATCATTAAAACTCTGCATGATAATTATCCACCTCATTTAAGCACATTTTTATGCAGATTTTTAGAATTTATGAGGATCTTGGCATTTCCATCCAGCATTTGTTTTATTAAATATCACACATTTCAGATGAGTGTGTGTGTGTATGTAAACACAGCTCGTGTTCAGGGGCAGATGAGTGTGTGTATGACTGTCTTTCACGTGTGTGTCCCTGCGATGCGGCTCCATCACGGTCCGGTGATTATGTGTGTCGAGACCCAGGAGACACACACACACACACACACACTCACGTTCATGTCCTGAGGAAAGGTGAACTCACACACATTCAGACACACTGCTTTCTTTATAATCAACCGCTCAGATATTCGTGAGAAATGTTGCCTGTTCCCTGAGGACAGAGACTAGGAGCTAAACCCGCCCTGTTTCTGCTGGCTTATGGATCATAGTGTGTGTGTGTGTGTGTGTGTGTGTGTGTGTGTGTGTGTGTGTGTGTGGACTTCAGCCTGGTTCAGTTGGATCTGATTGTGAGGTGATGTTGATCACGGACAGCTTGTTCTGTCCACAGAGGATATGAGAGCCAGCGCTATCAGATTGTGTGTGTGTGTGTGTGTGTGTGTGTGTGTGTGTGTTTAATAATGAAGCACAGGACGTTCACTCTTCCTCTCACCACCGGCTTTATCTGTAGGGATTCGGGACGATTCCTGTCCATGCAATTCAACACTACAAAAAACACTAAAAGAATTCATGGTTTTATATAAAGCCTCTACTGCATCCTGTCCGTATGAAAGCCCATTTCACCACATAAGAAAAATAATCAAATTTCATAATTTCTACTCATAATTTTTACTTTTGTCATGTAGCATGTCATAATTTCGACTTGTCAATTTTTATTTTTTTCCATAATTATGACAGTCTTAAATATGACTTATAATTATGACTTAGTATGTCATCATTTACTTATGTCATTACTTTTTATGACAATTTTGACCAAAAACTAATTATGTCTTAGTATGTCATAATTTTAATGTTTTAATGTTATGAAGTCAGATGTAACTGTTATTATGACATATAACTTTTTATGCCATAAATATGACTCATAATTTCGATTTATCATAATTAAGATTTACCAAAGCATGATTTTTCCCTTGTCTGCAGAAATGGGCTTCCATATGTTAGAAACTAAACGAAGCAGATTTACAGTGATAATAGGAAATTAATAATACATAATACATTAATTTCATTGAAAAACATTTTTTTTAAAATTCGGTTATTTTTGAGTGACACACGAAGAGCACCAGAGGGTTAATAGAGTAACAGTGCTACTGAGCTGATGTGTGTGTGTGTGTTTGTAGGTGTGGGACGGTGTCGGCGGTGGGCGGAGCTTACGCACTTACTCCGCCCACAGGGGCGCGGTGCGTGATGCGTGTTGGCTGCCGTGTGGGCGTCGCCTCCTCTCGGGGTCGTTCGACGGCACGGCGGCGCTCACGGACGCGGAGACGGGTGAGTTTCACCATTATCCTGAGAGTCGCGTCTGTGGCGGATCGCATCAGGACAGAGGCTTCTTTTCTCATCATGAGGGACACGTCTCTCAGCGCGTCAGATCATCACATTCCTGAATGAAAAACACTGAGGAAGTGTTAATTATGCAGGAGGAGATTCATATCGGCTCAAACATCTGCACATTCTCTCCATTCTAACACAAGATCTCATGCTAATATTACAGTACATTACTTAAACTAATAGCAACTAATGCTAACAATTGAGATCTTATTGTAAAGTGTTACAAAAAAAACAGTGGAGTTTCATCCGAGACTGAAATCAAATCAAACTTGATTATATGCAAATCTTCTTATTAATATGCATGAGTTGGTGGTCATATGAATCATGTCACAGGTAATAAAGAAGTGCTGCTTTACCAACATGCACAGTCTCTCCTCTAACGCATTGCAAACTGCACATTTTCCATGTTGCAAAATTAGTCAATTATGAAACTAATTGCCACTGAGCTGTAGAGCAGAAGACCGGGCGTTATTACAGGCGTGTGCTCGTCTGAGGCCGGCACTGCCGCAGTCATTACATCTCTGGATATTACGTGCTTCTGAAACTAAATTAACACTGATTTGATTAATTGACTGATTGATTGATTGACCCATTGATTGATTGATCCTTCGGATGAGACGTTAAACCGAGGCCCTGACTCTCTGTGGTCACAAAAAATCCCAGGATGTCTTTCGAAAGTGTAGGGGTGTAACCCCGGTGTCCTGGCCAAATTTGCCCAGTGGCCTCTGTCCATCGTGGCCTCCTAATCATCACCATATATATATATACACTGATTGGCTTCATCACTCTGTCTCCTCTCCACCAGTAAGCTGGTGTGTGGTGGGCGTTCTGGCGCAATATGGCTGCCGTCGCATCATCAGGTGGATGCTGCACATTGGTGGTGGTTGAGGAGATTCCCCCTTCTATGTAAAGCGCTTTGAGTGCCAAGAAAAGCGCTATATAAATGTAATTAATTATTATAATTAAATTGATTGATTGATTGATTGACCCATTGATTGATTGATTGATTGACTCATTGATTGATTGATTGATTGACCCATTGATTGATTGATTGATTGATTGATTGACCCATTGATTGATTGATTGATTGATTGATTGACTCATTGATTGATTGATTGATTGATTGACCCATTGATTGGTTGATTGACTCATTGATTGATTGATTGATTGATTGACCCGTAGGTTGGTTGGTTGGTTGGTTGATTGATTGATTGATTGATTGATTGATTGATTGATTGATTGATTGATTGACTCCTCAGGTCAGACCGTCGCTCAGATGGACAACGGTTTTAAGGTGACCTGCGTCGCCCCGCAACCTTCCGCCCCCGACGTGTTCCTGAGTGGCGGCTTCAGTTCAGAGGTCAAAGCCTGGGACACCCGCTGCCGTAAGGTCAGTCTGATCCCAAACCCTTCCCATGAGCCTCTGCTTTGAGCGTGTGGCTCAGGCGTTGTGTGCCGCAGGTGCTGCGCGTGTACAAAGCTGCGGTTCAGCAGACGCTGGACGTCTTGTTCCTGAGCGGCGGCCGCGAGTTCGTGAGCAGCACCGACGCCGTGAGCCGAGACTCGGCCGAGCGAACGCTCATCGCCTGGGACTTCCAGACCACCGCCAAACTCTCCAACCAGATATTCCACGTAAGAACCTTCTCTGAGGATACACACACATTCATGCAGACACACTAGGGTGTTTTCCTTCTAAAGCGCTACGGCTCTATGACTTACATGCGGGAAAACAGGGACGGAATCCAGTCACAAAAACTGAATTTACTGTATAACGCAGAATTTCACAGAATTTGTCATTTTTAACGAATGAATAAAAATCAGGTCAGTACACGTAAATCAAATCACGATATATTCTAGTGTCTGTGAATATTAAACCGCAAAAACACTATTTAAATATTAAACCTGCATGTTTGTGTGTGTTTAATTCGACATTCTCACACACTGACGCACGCGTGCCGCTCCTGTGTTTCCAGCCTCTATATGAGGACATGAGCTTCACCTCCAGAGCCGCTCTGAGAGGCACGGCAACCCGTCAAAATAAAAGTTCGGTTTAACTTGAAGAAATTGTGACAGAAATAGGTTACTGCTGTACAGTAGAATAAAGCTACGTCTCAATGTAATAATAACACTAATAATTATAATTTATAATAAAATTATTTTTTTAAAGGAATAATGAAAAAATATCTTCCATGTTGTAATTTTAACTGTACAGCTGTTTGACAAAAACAAACCCCTAGTTTGACACAAAAAAAATCAATTTCATATGATTAAATGATCAATTAAATTAATGTTTTCTTCCTTCATTTGATTGCCAGAAAAATTTAAATACACAACACAAAATTTCTGGGGGGGGGGGGGGAATTCCTAGAAATGAGAATAAAAAAAAAGAAAATAAAAAAAGTTAATGAATTCAATTAATTAGACTTGCTTTTTGATTATTAAAATTAAGTTAAACCATTTAAATGGAATCCAGAAAACTTAAAACGGACAACACAGAATTTGGTAAAAGTAAAACTGAATTTGAGGAAATAAAATAAAACGTATTTCATTAGGGCCCTAAACATGTAATATTTGTGAAACTTTTAATAAAGTGTTGTTGAATTGTATTTTTCATTGTTTCAATTAATTAGACATTCTTTTTGATTACAAAAATTTTATTTAACCATTAAAATGGAGTTCAAAAAATGTAAACGAAAAAATAAAATAAAATCTAAAACTCTAAAACGCTCTACGTCCACACTCATTTTTTTTTTTAAATGTCTGAAATTTTCTTGTTTATGTTTATGTTGGTGTTGTTGTTTGTGTTGTTGTTGATGTTTATGTTGTTTATGTTGATGTTTGTTATTTATATTGATGTTGTTGTCGTTGTTTTTGTTGTTGTTATTGTTGATGTTGTTGTTGCTGTTGTTGATGTTGTTTATGTTGTTGTTGTTGTTGTTGTGGTGGTGTTAGGAGCGCTACACCTGCCCGAGTCTGAGCGCTCACCCGCTGGACGCTAGCTTCATCGCTCAGACTAACGGCGGCTACATCGCGCTGTTCTCCGCCCAGAGGCCGTACCGCATGAACAAGAGACGCCGCTACGAGGGTCACAAGGTCAGCGCCAAATCACGTCACATGATCACCCGCATATTCCTGTGACTGAAGGCCTCCTTCCCTTCACCTCTGTACTGATAAAACACTGATTCCAGTTCACATCGATACGTGGAAGCCACAAAAAGTTCTGTATTACGCCTGCTCACATATATTCAAACACACACCTATAGACTAAACACATGATACGCATGTGCGCGCCGTCAGCGCTTTCACAGATTAGCGTTTTTTAAGTTTACACGGAGATGATCACCCTTGTAAGAAATTATAGTCTGCTCCGATCCAACTTCCACTCCAATATAGATATATTGAAATGTTCCTTCACTTAAAAGAGCTTATTTATCATAGAATTAATTCCTTATAATCTTAAAAGTATCACAGAGTTACGTTTATTACCTATAGCGTGGGAATGACAGCGGGTATTCAAGAACCATCTTGATTAGGGAGCTTCAAAGAGATGTTATCACCTTAAACATTTGGCCATTCTTATTTGAAAGAATATCAAAGACATGGACACAGAGGTACCACTTTTAGTTCTCTTCTATTTACATTTAAGATAGAGTTTCAGCTCCACGCTGAGAGAGAAGACGAATTTGTTATTCTCAATTTACATTTAAGAGAGAGCTTCATTTACATGCTGAGGGGAAAGACAGATGTAAGACGGTATAAAATGTTTACGCTGGGATGAGTTCGGGGTTCATTCTGACGCTAGTGAACCCAAGGTGCTTCGTGTCCCTTGCCACTGCTATGCTGTAATAAACTTCATTTTTGAGATCTTCGACATCTACATCATTTGTTCTTACACCCTTTACAAAAAATGTTCACCGCTTGTACCTTGGAACCTGTTTCAAAGTTTGTGTTCTCGAGCCCCAAACACTGTTGTGTGTGGATGGGCGGCCGGAGCGCGTTGAGTGTTTCCTGTTAGAGCGGTGTCGTGTTAGCGCCCCTAAGCTAATCACTAATGATCTTTACGACGGGAGTGAATCAATCAGAACTAACTTTATCTGGACAATAACTTTATTCTAGAGCTGCTGTAAAGCCTAAACACTCTCTGTTACTGTAATCTCCTGTTATCACTGTAAAGCTGCTGTGAAACTCTACACTGTTACAGCGCTGTATAGATGAAGGGACTTGACTTGACTGGAACCTCTGGTCTCATTGGTTGCAGGTGGAGGGTTTCGCAGTGCATTGTGGGTTCTCTGCAGACGGAAGCGTGCTCGTCTCTGGCAGCTCTACAGGATCTGTTCACTTCTACGACTATCAGAGCTCACGGAGCCTGAAGACGCTGGACGCTCATGAACACGCGTGTGTGTGTGCCGCGCTCCACCCCGTGTTACCCGCCGTCACGGCCACCTGTGATTGGACAGGAGAGATCAAGATATGGACCTGATCTTTCATCTGCACAAGGACGTTCAATAATAATAAACAGATTTATAGTTATGTGACACGGAACATTTCCTTTCCTTTCAATGCTTTCATTGTTTCAATATGAAGCTTTTCTTTATGAAAACATGATTATAAACAGCAAAATCTGCATTGATAGAAATATCAGCACAGAAATATAGAAATATATCCTTGCATCACAACACAATCATATTCATGTTTTAGAGATCACAGAACAACATCTTACAGGAACCCGTAGTTTTATATGGTGATCTTATTTCCATTACAGCTGGAAAACACAGATCTTGCTAATACAGATCTTCTGTCTCAATGCTGTGTGTGTGTGTGCGTGTGTGCGTCCGTGTCTGTGTGTGCGTGTCCACTGAATGTTACACGGTTTATTCACTGATGTCTGTTTACTTAATAAGACGTTAAAATAATTAATTAACAATGAAAAATACTTCTATATGCCATTTATTAATCTTAGTTCATCTCTAATGTACTCATCGTTTAAGAAACGACATCAAAACAAGTCCATCGTTCAGATTTATTTAGTAAAGAAAAATACAGTAAATATGGAAACGTGTCTAGAAGCAGTTTTCTTGTAATGGCGTCGATCGTGGAGTAGACCAGACGAACACCTGATCGATCGACAGCGCTGGGGTTAGCGCTGCCACCTGTCCTTCTCTGTCCTGGGAAATTTATCCACCGAATGTCCCGGTTTTCGAAAGGGTACGTGAATATGTAAGTTCAATTGACTACTTTCTCTCCACATGAAGTAGCCTATGCGCTGTGACAGAGCGCTCGTGTGTCTCGGTGTGGATGCGCTATCGCTGGCTCTAGGGAGCAGGGCGTGTGACGTAGCCTATCTAGGCGTCTGTGATGGCGGCTACCAGGCCTACTACACTACAGGCGGCCATTAGAGAAGCAGTGTGGACTTCGTTCGTTAGCGTTAACATGGGTGGCGAGGCGGAGGACGAAGAGGACAGTGTGTTCACAAAGACTGACAGGCCAGTAAAAAATAAATTTAAACTTTCGACATACTTTAATAATGACTGGATGAAAAATGACAAAATCCACATGGCTAAAGCCAACACCAGGCGAAACACTTTATAAAAGTGGCTATAGATGTGGCTGAGGTGAGGTATGGCAAATCAAATCTAATATTTCTTTAGCAAAGAGGGAACAAGCACCAGTATAAGCAATCAGGTAATCTGAGGTAAGTTTCCTCTAATGAGAATACTTGAGATGTTTAATATATTCAGGACTGTGTCTTACTGCACTAAGGCCAATTTTATATTGTGGGTCTAATGTCCAATGGACATTTTCACTTGTGAGCAAAGCGGTCGGTGACGGTCGGGTCATCGATATGTCCAGGTTTTTTATCAGACATGGGTGGCAACCCTAGGCTTCATCCGTGAGGATCTTCCTCTATACCTGTTACACTCACACTCACACTCACATCAATGCATTCGGCAGACGCTCGGATCACAGTGAAGGTTTCGATATACTGGAGTCACTTCAGCTTTTCTCACAGCATCTAAATAACAATCTATTGCTTTCTCACAACAACGGACATTAAATCATTTCTCTGGTGGATGTTGGTCTCATCTCCTGGTGCTTCTACAGAGAAACATGTTTCCTAATACAGTTCTAACACTAGATTGCACAGCTGTGATCTCGGCCACAGATAATCAGACACACTACACACTTGAAATGGCGTCATATAAGTACTCAAGTGGTCGAGTGTGCATATTTAGGCGGGCCTTTCCATCCAAGATCCTTTAATTAACAAAAGCCACTTCCTGAAATGACATCACCTCTGGGAAGTGACATCACTCAGCTGGGACATCAGCTGCACACACACACACACACACACAGGTGAGTAGCTGCAGTGCGTTTGATGTGTTTTGTTGTGTTGGTTTGAGTCACTCATGTAAGTTTGCCATCAATCCCTCACTGAACAATAGCCGCTTTCCGACCAAGTAGTTACAGGAACTTAGTTATAGGAACTGTCCACTTCTAAACAGTTCTAAGAACTACTCTCCCCCAAACTCGGTTAGGCGAATTGCAACAGACAGTGAAGAAAATGTGTTGACAGTGGGCGTGACTTATAAGTTGAACCAATCAATGTAGACCTAGGGAAAGGGAACTAAAAAAGTCCTCGCTCTAGACTAGGTACTGAAAGAGTTATAGGAACTACGGTCTGAGGAACTAAAAAATCCCCAACTTAGTCCGGTCGGAACACGCGAAAAAAAGGGTTCTAGGAACGTTAGGTTCTAGGAACTGCAAAAGTCCCTCCGGTCGGAAAGCGGCTAATGATTGAGCTCTTCAGGAACTAAACCTGCTTTATGCTTTCATAGAAATATATCCATGCATCACAACACAGTCATATTCATGTTTTAGAGATCACAGAACAACATCTTACAGGAACCCGTAGTTTTATATGGTGATCCTATTTCCATTACAGCTGGAAAACACAGATCTTTCTAATACAGATCTCAATGCTTTTTTATGATCATGGATAGATGCACTTTTATGTTTTTAAAAATAGAAACGGCCATTCACTGCCATTATAAAGCTTGGAAGAGCCAGGACATTTTTTTTTTTAACTCCAATTGTATTCGTCTGAAAGAAGAAAGTCATATACACCTGGGATGGCTTGAGGGAGAGTAAATCATGGGCTAATTCTCATTTTTTGGTGAACCATCCCTTTAAAAAAGCCACACCCAAACACGGATGGCTAGTTAAGCAGCGTTCCATACAGCTGTGCTCTGTTAAGACTGTCTTTACGACTGAGTCCCGTGTTTCCAAACTTTCGATGCCGTGGCGTGTTTTTCCGGGGGTCCCTCTTGTAGTGCGGGGCGTCCCGACTCTGGTCGAGAGACTCGTTGGAGCTGCTGGGACTTCCGTCTGCGTAATCTCTCCGCAAAGCTCCTTCAGTCGTGCTCGGCTTGTCTTTGGAGAACCAGCTTGAGTCCTGACCTGAGCGGAACATCAAACCCCTCTTTAGAGCGTTCAGACTGATCTTCGGGTTCAGCGCAGGACTGGATCCGGCTGACGCGGGGAACCGCGGATCCGGTGCGTGTGCTTGGAAAACGTGCTCTTCCTCCGGGAAGCTGCTGTAAAGCGGACCCAGTTTGATCTTAGCGGGACCGACTGCAAAGTTACGCTCTTGGAAACTGAAGGGTTCAGGACTGCAGAAGAAGGAGTTCACGTCTTCAACGCTCATCTGACGCCAGCTTCCCGTCGGGACGCTCCTATTCCCGCGGGAGCTGTATCCGTGTGCCGGAGAACCTCCGTTCGGTGAGCCGTGAGAAACGTGTCTCGACTTAGGAAAACCTGGATGTTCCTTTCCAAACGAGGGGTTCTTGTGCTCATGGTCTCCGTCACGCCAGTCCGTGAACAGCTTCTGTTGGGATGAGGACGATACGTGAGGCGGATCATCCAGCGCTGTGCTAAAGCTGGTGTGCCGGATGGAAGCCGGAAGAGATCCGAAAGGAAAAGCGTCTTCGTGCAAAGAGAAACTATGAGGGAAACTCTGGTCTTCCGGGTTGCAGTCGGTGTGTCCTCGGATCCGGCGCTCGTGCCGGCGCTCATCCGCGGGACAGTACAGCGCCGTGTCGCTGCAGGACAGGTCTGACGACTTATACGCCGCGTGACGCTGAGCTTTATCCGCGTTTGACGGGAACTCTTGAGGACTCGGGGAGCGCGTGACCGGACAGCTTCTCCCGGGCTCCGGTTTCTCCAGGACTCGGCCGATGACGGCGGTGGGAACGGCATCGGAGCCGGAGTGACGGAACGCTACGCTCTGCTTCTCCATGTGGGAACTGACTCGCTCCTGCAGATCCGCGGGAAGCTGAAAACACACACAGAGACACCAATGAGAGAGACTTGAAGATGTGAGACCGTATGTAAAGAAGAAATGAACCATGTAATCACACTCGTACCTGTTTTCTACAGAGCCCTTAAAGGGACATGGTGATCGAAAATAGTTAAACATTTGCATTCTCTCGCAAAACATTTGTTTTTTCTCACAGAATTATTGCGTTCCCCTGAGAAACATTTGCGTTTTCTAGCGAACTATTGCGTTCTCTCGTAAAACTATTGCATTCTTTCGTAAAACTATTTCGTTCTCTCGTAAAACTATTGCGTTCTCTCGTAAAACTATTGCGTTCTCTCGTAAAACTATTGCGTTCTCTCATAAAACTATTGCGTTCTCTCGTAAGACTATTGCGTTCTCTCGTAAGACTATTGCGTTCTCTCGTAAGACTATTGCGTTCTCTCGTAAGACTATTGCGTTCTCGTAAAACTATTGCGTTCTCTCGTAAGACTATTGCGTTCTCTCGTAAAACTATTGCGTTCTCTCGTAAGACTATTGCGTTCTCTCGTAAGACTATTGCGTTCTCTCGTAAAACTATTGCGTTCTCTCGTAAAACTATTGCGTTCTCTCGTAAAACTATTGCGTTCTCTCGTAAGACTATTGCGTTCTCTCGTAAGACTATTGCGTTCTCTCGTAAAACTATTGCGTTCTCTCGTAAGACTATTGCATTTTTTTGTAAAACTATTGTTCTTTTTTTTAAACTATTCCATTCTTTCATAAAACTATTGCGTTCTCTCGTAAAACTATTGCGTTCTCTCGTAAAACTATTGCGTTCTCTCGTAAGACTATTGCGTTCTCTCATAAAACTATTGCATTCTCTCGTAAAACTATTGCGTTCTCTCGTAAGACTATTGCGTTCTCTCTTAAAACTATTGCGTTCTCTCGTAAAACTATTGCGTTCTCTCATAAAACTATTGCGTTCTCTCGTAAAACTATTGCGTTCTCTCATAAAACTATTGTTCTTTTTTTTAAACTATTCCATTCTTTCATAAAACTATTGCGTTCTCTCGTAAAACTATTGCGTTCTCTCGTAAAACTATTGCGTTCTCTCGTAAGACTATTGCGTTCTCTCATAAAACTATTGCATTCTCTCGTAAAACTATTGCGTTCTCTCGTAAGACTATTGCGTTCTCTCTTAAAACTATTGCGTTCTCTCGTAAAACTATTGCGTTCTCTCAT